TATCAGAGAAACTGAGACGTTTATTTTCTAAACATAACGTCCCAGTGACTTTTAAACCCCAAAATACATTAAAGACTGGTTCATCCCAAAGATCCAGTCCCCCGGCACAAACAGAGTAATGTTGTGTATGTTGTTCAGTGTCAGGAGGGTGATCAGTCTTACATCGGGGAAACTAAACAGCCACTGGCCAAAAGGATGGCCCAGCACAGAAGATCAACATCATCAGGCCAGGACTCTGCGGTCTACACTCATCTCCAGGCCAGCGGTCACTCTTTCAGGGATGAAGATGTTCACATCCTGGACAGAGAGGAACGATGGTTTGAGAGAGGAGTAAAGGAGGCCATCTTTGTGAAAAGAAACCGTCCATCATTAAACAGGGGTGGAGGCCTCCGGGTTCAACTGTCCCCCTCTTACAATGCTGTGATTGCTGGTATCACTCAGCCCTCTGTGAATAGTACACAGCCATCAGTGTGCTAATGACCCATTGTTAGGCTGATTGTCCTTCTTGAGCATGTGATCAGCTGGTTTTGGTTGTCAGCAGCAAACTGGTTGATCCACACTGAGAAGGTGCTATTTAAGAGACTGAGCTGAAAACAGCTCCTCAGACTGAGGAAGTCTCTCGGATGAGAGACGAAACATTTCTACATTTTTTTGCTTTGTTTTATTTTTTGTTTTTTTTTAATGTCCAGAGGACCAGATTGAACTTTTTTGGATCGCTTTTTTATGTTCTGATGTTCTGTGTCCTGAGGTTTTGATGTTCTGTGTCCAGAGGTTCTAGTCTTCTGGGGTTCTGTTTCCTGGGATTCAGAGGTTCTGTATCCAGGGGTTCTGAGTTTCTGTATCCAGAGGTTCTGTATCCAGAAGTTCTGAGATTATGAGATTCTATAAGATCTGATTTTTTTGAGGTTCAGTTTCCTGAGGTTCTGTATCCAGAGTTTCTGATGTTCTGAGGTTCTGTATCCAGAGGTTTTGGTGTTCTTAGTTTCTGTTTCCTGAGGTTCTGAGGTTCTGTATCCAGAGGTTTTGGTGTTCTTAGTTTCTGTTTCCTGAGGTTCTGAGGTTCT